TTAGGGTTTACTACTTTGATTCTACACAACTAGAATCAAATAACAATGGTGGACAAACCCTAGAATATGTATAAAATTCAATTAAATACACAACACCAAATACTTAAATTATTATCACAAACCAAGCACTAAATTAACAATATAATTCAGAAATTACAACAAAAATAACACTATTGTGAATGGTTCTTTACTTACCTCTCTCCAAGCCGATATCCACCAAGAACATGAGAAAAACAATGACCACGCGAGTCTTCTATACCGGATACTTGACTAAGGCGTGTATACACTTTCCTAAAGTGATAATTTCCCCCACCACGGTGCTTGGGTTGAAACCGGAAACTCACTTTAAGATACAGTAGTCAACACCACACTCTAAGCACAAAGATGTGTGATAAGATGAATAAATTCTCAATCAATAAACTTAATGATGGAGAAATTAAAGAAGAGTTTGCAAGATTCTTCAATAAAATTGTAGAGAGAAGAGAGAGTTTTTCAGAGAGGAATAATATGTTTTGTGTCTCAAAAACCAAAACATCGAAAAAGATATAAAGGAAATAACCGCAAAAACCGAAGATGAGCGAGGAGGCGCGGGCGCGCCACCCCTGCGCGCGGGCGCTCCTCCTCGTTCTTCCAAAATTCCAACTTATCCAGAAACCTGACGCGATTTTGTCGCGGTTTAGGCGCGGGTCGCACCAAACCATAGCGCGGGTGCACCTCCTAAACTTTACAGATTTTCCAGAAACTCAGCGCGATTTTTTCGCGCTTTTGGAGCGGTCCGCGCTTGTCTTTCACAAGCGCACTAACAAGTGGAGCGATCTCTCCACTACAACACTCTAAATTATCCAACATCTATAACATTATAAATTTGTTAAATAAGATAAAATATTAATTATTATCATTAAATATTTATTATTATTATCAATTAATATTATATATTAATTATTATTATTATTATTATCTATAAATATTAGTTATTATTATTAAATATTAATAAATATTATTATTATTTTTATTAAATATTAATTATTATTATTATTATTAATTATTATATTTAAGCAGGGCAGAGCAGAGTAGAACAACTCAAAAGTACAAGGTCTTAGTAAATTAAAAATGAATTTTATCATACAATCATAGAATAGTTGGACCATTCTTAATAAAATGAAATTTTCATAAAAAAATATGAACACTTACACAAAAATGAACATTTAGTATTTAAAATAAACACGTCAAAAAATGAGCACGTCAAAAAAAGTTATGAACATTTAGTACATTAAAATTGAACATGATTTTCATATATTCATATGTTCAAATTCTTTATATATAATTATTAACGAAAAATAAAGATAATATAAATTGTTAAAATATGTTCATTTTTTCTATACAAAATGTTCATTTATAGTGTATTAAATGTTCATTTTGTACTATATGTTCATTTTTAAAGTACTATGTGTTCATTTTATTTTATTTTTTTTACGAAAATTATACACAAGTTTGATTGTAATTATTTAAACTCTAAAAATTTAAATATCCACCTTAAATCTTATCTTGGTTCATCATAGAGAAAATAATTATCGATCTATAATATGATAGAATAGGAATCACATATGAAAATTGATAGAAATCAATAATTAAAAAAAAAAACCTTAAAATTACCTCACAATTCACAATCATGATGCAGATGATAACGATGGAGAATGCTACAATGGTGACGAATTGGAGAATGCTCGAGGTAGAAGGACAAAAAAGAATAATGATCGAAGGATACCGTGCTATGCTTGGTTTTACAGTACAATTTCATTATTCGTTTATTAAAAACATGTACAAAATAGAATCTTTGTAAGTACTACATAAGACATTAAAAAAAAGTACAATAAATAATGTGAGATGGAAGGATTAATAATATTTTTAGTATTAGTAATATGAAAGCTTACCCTTATTTTTAATTAAAAATTACTCACTATTCATTTTATTATGGTTGATAATTTCCTAATAGTATTTTATAGTATTATGTAATATTTTTTATTCTTTACCGCTAAATTTTTTTAATTTTATTTAAATTATTATTGTTGTGCATCATTCCCTTTCCTAAATATAAGGCCATAACTTAGCAAACTTCTTTCAATAACAAAAAAATAAATAAATATGTTTTGGCGGGAATTTTTTTTATGAGGTAATGACACGTGTACTTTGGGGATAATTACGGGGATTACTTTAGTATATAATAATAAAGTATAGATGTCTGAGGAATTTTTTTGATTTTGCCTTACTCAATATGTCACAAATTTAGTTGTTGGTAGCAGTAATGAGAAAAAATATGTAAAAAATAATAATATTTTTACAGGTATAAATGTCCGCACATTATTATTAAGAGTTTAAAAAATGAGGCAATTAACATTAATGAGGACAAAAAAGTAAATAAGCAATATAGAGCCTATAAAAGCAACTCCAATGGCAAGATAATTGTCAAATTAGCTACTTGTCACATAAGTTTTAAGCTAATTGTCATTTTAGCTACTTTGGCTACAATGGCTAGCTATTAGCTTATTATTTAAATGAACCCCACCTCCTTAATTAACTTTATTATATTTCATTTAATTTATTCTTTTTTTAATTTGGCATGTTTTTTCCAAGCAAAAATTAGCTTTTTCCAAAGCTAATTTGTTTGGCCAAGCTAATTGCATTTTCTAGCTCCTATGGTCAATTAGCTAGTAACTAAGGAATTATTTAATATTACAAGCAAGTCCCTATTTATAACCATTGTAGTTGCTCTAATTGTCCAAACACTATTCATAAGAATTATCTCAAACTTTTTAAGGTAAAAAGCGGAAGAGAAGAACTTTATAAAATTGATACCTCGAGTAAAAGATACGGAAATCCCCACCAAAATACTATTAGTTGAATTTGATTTCGTGATTTTTAAGTTATGAGGTTAAACCTGAGATTAAATCTTTAAACTACAGGCCATGTTTAGTTCACCTTATTTTTACTTATTAAAAAATAAATAAGTTCACATCAGATCATATCATATCAAAAAAAATAAGTTCTTATTCAATTTATCACTTTAGGTGTGGTTTTATCGCTAAATATTTTTTATTTTGTAATGAAAAAAAGGAAAATTACATTTTAATAAATACATATTATTATGAATTTAACAAGACCCCATTTGATGTATTTTTCCTTTATACATTATCGTACACATAAGGTCAAAGTTTGGTCAAATCAAACAACCAAATAGGACTAGATAAGCAAACATATGGTGAACTAAAAGAACCCTAAGTCCAACATTGTTTAATAGTGGATGACATGGTTTGTTAATTGTGAATGAGAAAATGGCGTAGACCATGTAGTTAATAACTTGGAATATGCATGTTTAACTAGTTTTTGGCCTGGACGATGTCCCGGGTCATTGCTTGTATTGTATTATAGTTATTTTTTTTTTTTGTAAAAATTCAATATTGAATATTTTAATTTGTCAATTTGATTAGACATTAAAGGGAGTAAACTAAAAAATATATGGTGGAAAAATTTGATGCCCATCAACGGTTATAAAATTTCAACAGTGAATTGAAGTTGAAATTTAAAAATGAATTTAGGTTTGCTTATTAATTTGAATAATAAATGATAAAATAATAATATATTGAATAGTTAATACAAAGTTGCGAAATAAGGAGCATTACAGTCAAACTAGAAAGTTACAACGTGTAGTTTAAATCATTCTATTAAGTACAATAAGTATTAAGAGGCATTGATAGTTTGATTGTAATTGTCTTTCTTAAATTTAGTGGTTCAAATTATATCTCAATCTGATGTATATCTCTCAAGACTCTCACAAGGCTCGCAAGCTATAATAACATTGAATTTTCGGATTTAAGAACTAAAGAAATTGCACGAAAATAAAAAGGATAATACTCTAATTCTCGCAAGAATATGAAGATGATCACAAGTCGCAACAAGTAATGTTTTTGATTAACAATCAAACGAGCAACGCTGAAAGGGTTAATTCCCAAAACAAATCTCTCATCATCATCAAAAATCACTATTGATATGCACCTATATTTATAGGGTGAAAAATCGTACAAAGATAAAATAAGAACTACTAATCATACCCTAATAAGATAGAATATTAAGAATCCTAATCCTAATATAACTCCTAATCATATTTGTAACCAACTATTAAATCTATCCCAACATAAATAAATTAAACAAATAAATATCCTAATAACTAAAATTCTTAAAGCCTAAAAATATGAAAAATTCTTCCAAGTGAAAGGTAAAAACCCATAGACAAAAAATCCTAATAACTAATAATAACTAAAAGATAGGGTAGACTTTCTAAAAACTCCATGAATTTTCAAGAAAACTCATTTTAGACTATTGCTCCCGTATCACAATCATAAATTTGCATTGAATTTTGGTATTTAGTGTAGATGAATAGGTCATGACATGTCATTGCTCATGTGGCGCCAAATTTATTAAAGGAAGGATGACACGTGACAATACCATGTTATCCCATTGAGATTTTATAATATTATAGATATTGAAACAATACATTTCCAAACTCTTATATCGAAATTTGTTTACATCATTATGTTTTAGGCTCAATTTCGTATCCCACTATTTTTGGGGTTTAAATCTTGCCAATCAAAGGTGTTTGGAAGACAAAAGTGGTAATCCTTATCATTACCCCCCCCCTCCGCGCCCAATTCCAGCACTTAACCCTCAAATTTTGGATTAGTAAATAGTGAAGGTTGTAGTCTTAATTATTCTTTTTGTTTAAACAAAATAAGCATGATAATGATTATAACCTGTTGATGTTGAGAGTATGTATGACCCAAAATTCATTTTATGACAAAATTCCTATCAAACACATGAGAGTGTATTAATAAGGTAATTAGGTAAAAATTTGATTAAAACAAAAATATTAAGAGCAAGTCAAAAATAGATGAACTAGACATTGAAAGTGCTCAGTCAATAATATTTTAGCGAAACCAATAAACAAAAAGCCCTTATAGCTCAGTGGTAGAGCGCCAGTCTTGTAAACTGGAGGTCCGTAGTTCGATCCTGCGTGAGGGCAAATTATTTCCGCCCTTTGTTATTTTTTTGTTTCCACACTTTCTTTCGTAGTTCACTCCCAAGTCCCAATTTAATAAACCCTTGCTACAAAACTTTGCCCTAATTTCCTCTCTTCTAAATCTGTTCTCCCAAAAATTTAAAAAAAATCAAAGAACCCAAATCAAAGTTCATACTTCAGCATGCTCAAATTCCCAGAATTTTTCATCCTAAATCCCTAAAAAACTCAATCTTTTTAAGCATTTTCCACATTACCTTCCTCCTACCCAGAAAAACATGGCTCGGCTGTTGCGAGAACTGATTCGCAGACCATCTTCCACCAGATTCATTGCAACATTGACCCATCAAAACCCCACAAATCTCTCTCCTCCATTGTTGTTTAATCAATCATTTCTTCTTGGTCAAACTTTTGATCATGGAGATGTGTTAAACCCTAGCAATCAGGGTTTAATGGAATTTACCCATTTCAGCAAATCGCAGATTTACCCAAGTTTTTCATTTGGGTATTTTTTGGACCCGGTTTCGCCTACTGGGTTGGGGTCTGGACCCGAAAATGAGGACCCGGGAATGATGTGGGCTGATAGTGTGAAGAAGAAGAGGAAGAAGAAGATGAACAAGCATAAGTATAAGAAGCTCAGGAAACGTCTTCGTCGAAAGACTAAGACTTGATCAGGTTTTCCCTCCTTCATTGTTGTTTGAACAATTATTTAAGATTTTGTGTTATTTTGTTTTTGGTTGTTTGTTCTTGTGATTGTACTACTTTGTGCTATGACATTGTATGTATAAACTGTTCTGAAAGTTGGATTAAGCTATTTCCAAGCATTTCTATGTGATTTTGTTGTATTTTGGAACTTTATGAGATTTTGATGTACTATGGTATAAGTGTATAACATAGGTGGTAGGAGTGGTGTTAGCTTGAAGGCGGAACTTTGCTGTAGTAGTGTTGTTAATAGTTTGTGTACTTGTTTGAAATGAATACGAGATTGATGCTACAATACGAGAATGATTATAGTTTGAGTGTAGCAATATTTTTAGCTGCTTGATCGCTGGTTCACTATATGTAATGCATGAGTAATGTTAATTGATATGGGTTTATTCCTGTAAGATGCTATACCGCAGGATGTAACTATTATCACTGCTCACGGTACATTTTTAGTGAAGGGATAGTATTTGGGATTTTTTTTTTTCTTGTCTAGCAACAGAGCAATTTACAGCAGCGTACTCGTGAAAAGAATCGATTTCCCAATATTTGCACACCAATATGTGCCTGTTAATGCTCCTTTTGTGTGTCTCAAATTATCAATTGATGTAAGGATGCTGCTACACTACCCTTTATCATGATATTGTTATTGTTTGGCATTCAAGTTTTGATAATCATTAGTGTCATATGGACTAAGATGCAGTCTGACATTATCACCTGGGCATTCCTGAAATAGTTGTATGACCAAGAGCTATTGCTCTAAATCTCTAAGTAAGGTGCTGCATTGGATATGTTGCCCGGCAGGACTTCTTTTCAATCGTCCATCTTTATAACTTTGACTTATTAGTTCAATAGTTAACACACCTAAGTGGAACAAAAGAGAGTCTTGGAACCTTGACGACATCAAAGTGGATTTTGAAGCAGACATGATTATGGGGTTAGGTTGGATTTTCCTATCTGTTTTTAAAGTTGTAATTTCCTTTGATTATCCTATTGGCTATCTAGCTATTTAATGAGGTATTAAGAGTATTTCGTGAAGCTGCTAGGATGTATTTTTTGTCACTGTACTGTATGTTTAATTGTTTAGGGTACATTTTTTGTCGAGGGATAGTATAGAGGATTGTTTTCTTGTGTCCTGTAAGGCTGTAACAGATAACTCTATAACCAGTCTATTTGCGAGAAAAGTCAATTGCACATTGATTCTTTCCTTTTAGTGCTCTGTTTGGGTATCATGTGTTGGTATACAAAGTATCAATTTGGATTTTATTGGATGCTGCTACCCTACCCAAACCTTTATCATGATATTGTTTGTATTCTGTCTCATCTCATATAGATTTTGATGGTAATAGGATTTATATAGATTTAGTTTTTGTCTAACATTATCATTTGGGAATTCCTGAACTTAGTTATAAGAGCTATTGCTCTAATCTTCTAAGTTAAAGCAGTAAACCTGCTATTGGATTTTTTTTTTTTTTTTTCCCAATTGTTCACCTTTTAAACTTTGAGTTATTAGCTCAATAGTCAACACACCTAAGAGGAACTAAAGACAGTCTTGAAACTTTGATGGCATCAAAGTGGAATTTGAAGCAAACAGAATTATAAGATTTCAGGTTAGATTTTCCTACCTGCTTCAAAGTTGTAACCTCAGTTGATTTTGTAATTGTGGAGATAATTTGACTATTTCAGTGGCCAAGTAAAGTTTTCCACTTAAATTAGTGTCTAATTGTGGAGAAAAATAGCTGAGATTATTGATTAGGTGGATAATTTGCCTATCTTTTTGCCATACAACTGTACTTGGAGGTATTAGGTGTATGTGTTGTGATTGGAAGAAGTCCAAAGCCCATGTAAAAAGGTATAAGGACTCTCCTGAAGACAAACCCACTGCCCTAAGGTGAACGGCTGCCACTTATACATGGAGCCTTAACTTGGAACTCTGTATATGCAGTTGCACTAATGAAGCAGGTTGTTCTTCATGCTCTGCCGCTATACAGTTCGAATTCCTTCATTCATAAATGTGAATGTTGTGATTCCTGGAACACGTAGTACTCGATACATCTTATTGAAATGAATATAATCCAGTGTGAATGTCTCTTTTCCCTTGGCATTTCTTTCTTAATTATCATTTTTCCATGTTATGATGTTTGACTCATTAAATTTCTCTTACATTGATTCATTCTTCTATGAAAGTTATTTCTTATGCGCGAACCTTTTTGCACAAGACTTAGATTGGAGGGAGAGTGCTGCTCTTTGTTGCAAAACTGACCTTGATTCATCTATTTTGACTTCCAAAAAGAACTAGTGTGAGTAGTATCTGCAAATCCCGGCTGAATTTTCACTAACCAAAAGCTTTGATTGATTGAAATACCTTTGGTAAAACTCTGTTATGAGAATTTAATTTTAACAAGTCTTTGACTATCAACAAAGGCATTTATTTATACCAACCCAAGTTTCTATTGCCAAAGTATTGTCAATTGCTAGTAAATGCAATTTTATGCAGCAGCTCCCAGTTTTCAGATGATAGGCAAAATTAATTGCTGTACTCTCTAATGATGTCCACAAACCTCTGCAATTCTATGAGGATTGTGTATCTAGTATAACCTGTACACAAGTGGCATCACTTGCAACTCATTTTTCTTTTTCATGTCCTTAATGTAGCTTAAAAGTCGTCACCCTGCATTGCCTCTCTATGGCATAGGGCTCTCCTGATGTCAGAAATTTTCAAGAGTCCTCAAGACCAATAACTCAATGCTGCCCGAATGGGTGATTAGCGATTGACTTTTGCTGATCATGGTGGGTGTGTTGGGGATAGAGGACTCACTAACAATTCCTAGGCTTTGTACAATTCAGTGACGCTATATTTTTCTTGGAGGTTTTCTCAAGTATTGTGATGAAGGAAATTTGATAAATCTTGTGTGCGTTGATTGACAAGTATTAGGACTATTTCTGAAGTTCTGAGTCCCTGAGCCAGTCAGGATTGTCGTCAGTCTGTAGGGCATGGTAGTGGTGATTCCTTTTAATGTTTCTTTTATTATCTAGCTAATGAACGCGAGGGAACGGTGTAGTGCTCAGTATGCACTGGTGTGGGATTAGAATATTTGATAGTGTGAATTGTTGTGACCAATTTGTCCTCATAATGAGCAATCAGTCCATCTGGGTTCCAATTTTCTAGAAGCAGTCTGTCGATAAGTTTTGACTGTCAGGATTCAAGTTGGAAGTTGGGTTGCTACTTTAAAAGCAACATTCTGGTGTTAATTAGACTAATTGGACAATTACAGCCTGCTTTGTTTTATGATGATACCTTTAAAGCTTTCCTCTCTGCAGTGTTACTGTTAACCATCCTCAATTCTGATGCTAAATATATAACTTAAAACATATTCAATCTTTTACACAGTAACATTAACTTCTCTGCCCCTCCCTTAACTAATTGAGCTCCCTACTTTTCTCTATAAGATTCCTTCAATAATTTGATTTTGACTCTTTTCTTGTAAACAACCTCGTGGACTGTCAATGCAAACTTTGGTATCTTATCCATTACTTGCTCAGTGAAAGCTGGAGCATTCTAAGCTCTTTTGGCTAGATTTTCTTGGAAAAGCTTTGAAAGTTCCGACTTCACCTGTATTTTAGTAAATTTTAAGTTTATGATTTCCTCCCTACTATAATCTTTATAGCACTGTAAGCTAATTTAGTAGCAAAAGTAAATGCTAATTGATGACTAATTGATTTAAATTATGTGGCCTATCCTGTACCAGACACTGCCAGATTTCCTGATTCTGTTCATAATGCTTTTGTGGGTATATTTGCCTACATTTTTAGTAACCAGTAAACCGGGGTTCCTCTTTAGAGCGTTGATATTCTTAGTACTTTTTCTAGTCTTGGGGCTCCTATGAAATTACTTTAGTTACCAATCAGGCAATCAGGAAGACAATTCAACTTTTATCTGCTTAATCTATGTTGTTTGGTAATTAGAGTAATTTTATTTTATTTTTATTTATTTATTTATTTATTTTTTTCTTTTTTATAATTCATCACTTAAAAGTTGCAATGGAATTGTATGTCTACTCAACTACTACATCCTATTGCGGTCAGGCTCCTTCCATTTATATGTTTGAAATAGCTTCCTGTTACAGGCTTTTCAGACTATATTTTTCAAGCTTATCTTGTGATTGCGCCCAGTAACTCGAGCATGTAATTCTAGAGAAGATAGTTTTGTACTTTACATTGTAACTTTTAGTTGAGGAAGGAACTTCTGCTGAATATCCCTATTCTGAAGTATATCTAATGAAGAATTTTAGACCCTTTATTTTATTGTTGTGATTTTTTGCTTAGTACATCAATCAATGAAACTTTTGATAATTAATTACCTTTGATTATTGATTGATAATTTAAAGCATTTTCCTAGTGAGTTTTTGTACTTATGGGCCAAATATTTGCATTCCTGAACTTTAACTTTTCTTGCAAAGACTTCAGGTCTTTATACACTTTAATATCCATGTCGTGCATCTCTTGCCATGAAATAACAAATCTTGAAACTATTGACGATTTCTGATTATCTCAATGATAGGAAAATCTTGCAATGTTCTTTGTTACTTCTATTAGCTCAAATACTAGAATGTCTTGTATAATTTATACTCATTGTATTTTTCTATGTTTCTCTCCAGGTTTCCATGTATATTAATGTTGAACTGCGACCTACATATGGTGTTTCCAGTAGGGTTACTTTGCCGAGCTTCACTTCATTTTTGGCGGTATTTTGGAATTCTTGGCTGCAGCATGCCAGACACATGCATTTTTGGCCGAGCTTCTCTTATGTTTCTGCACCTCCTTGTGGACATGGATTCACACTTAACATTTCAAGCCTGTAACCCATTGTTAGCTTGAAAATTATAGAGTGGTTATTCTGTTTTCTTATTATTTCAGGTGAAGACTTCAATAGGAAATAAACTAGGGTATACACATCTCATCTTCAAATTTTTGGTGAAACATGCTGATTTTTGAGGGATTTCAATTTCTGAGTTGTTTTTCAAGATGTTCTTCTCATGCTCCCTTTTGGTTTTCGAAAATTATTTCTTTGATCAAAATATTTGAAATCGTCTATTGTGCTTATTTTTGGACAGATTTTTTCACTTCAACCTTATATGGGACAAAGTGAATTCAAAAGTTGTAGTCTTTGAAAATTGTGAAAGGAGATGTTGAGCCAACTAGGCCAACCTGTGGAACTGTTTGTTGCTAGAATTTCATATGACCTGAGGATGGAGGGCACTAGGGCAGCACACTGTTAAGTGAGGTATCCGGGGTTGCTGTAGGCTGAGGCGTGTATGTTAAGAAATAGACCACATGACCGTAGTGTAAAAGCATGCAAGGAAAGCTACATTCTTGTCGGATTGTAAATTCTGCTGGACGGTGGCATATGTGCAGACACCTCGTCGCTTCACAGACTAGAACAAGACTATCTAGTCGAATGCTTTACAACGCGTCATTAAATCATTTTACTAAGATAGCTAATATCCACAAGGAAATGTAATACTTCGTAAAAAGTTTATTTGTCGATTAAGAAGAATACCACATTGAAAAGCTTGAGTAGTCGATCGAATACTTGTTCTGTATTGATTTACAGCTGCGGTTAACTTTTTTTTGATGGCTCCAACCTCCGGTCCCCGCTCGTACTTTTCATGATGAATTTGATGCTAGAACTTCTATTTTTTCGTACATCTGTCATCTGTGAGGCCGAATATTGGACCTTCATGACATTTCATTTTCAGAACGATTATACTAGATAATCATAATCTTCCCAGAAAATATGAACATTATGCATTTGATAATCAACAACATAATCTGATGCATTCTCTACTTGTTTTAGATTGAAATTCAAGTACCTAACACATTTCTCTTACAAGCCCAACCCAACATGGTTTCGTCCCTTGAATCTACTCACAAGTTTACTCCCGCCGTTTCCTTTTGTGCTTCCTGCTTAAAATCTTTTTGTGCAACGGAAAAAGTTTAAGTATGATGAACAAAAAGAAACTGAAAGAGTATATCATTTGATCTTAAAATTAAAAGATATGCGTGAACTCAACCACTATGCGTCTATGCTAAAATCAAATGTGAGGCTAGTGTGGAGTTGTGGACCAGTGAATACATTATAGGTTTCTGAATTCTGATCGATTAGTTATGCATCACAATCTATCAGTACTTTATACTTGGAAGTTATGGTACAAAAAATATCATACTAGATATACTCCAATTCAAATATTCAACCTCATGGTATGAAATTAAATGATAGGTTAGGTTTTTATCACTCTTAATCAACTCTTATAAGCAATGTAGATTATAAGACTAAGAACTTATTCTCTGGAACTTATTTCATAAACTTATTAACTATTCTTATTAGAATAAGAACATATTGTTATTATATCATACTAATGACATTAATGTTTGATATCCGTTGAACACTTTTTTTGAAGTGAAAAGAGTACAAGATGAAGCATCTTTTTAAACAACCGTCATAATCCCTTCAATATTTTCTTCATTTCACAATACTGTACATGTAATATTTTAACTATTAATTCCATTCATTGTAAGTTTGTAACAATTTTTTCTCTTTTTTCTCTCTAAGGTGTAATAAGATAATTCTATGTTGTATGTTATTGAGGCCCCATGTAATGGTACTTACATACCAATCAGGTGGTAATTGGTGCATGTTCGATGCCAACGACGGCTCTTGTATGTGATGGTTTTCAAAACCTTGGATCAAATATTATAAAGAACCCGTGAAAAGTCATGTGACTTATTCAATGTTAGTAATGAATGACTAATACGGGGTACTAGTTAAATGAGTCCAATGCCCGTTATTAATAAGAACCTTTGAAGTAACCTCGACTTGTTAGAGCTTGTAGCAGCGTAAGTATGAAGTAGTGGCGAAATCAAGATTTTGAAGACGAAGTGTCGACATTATGTCTATAGGGTGTCAGAAACTGTATAATATTTCATACATGTTAAGTATATATTTTCACAATGATGAAAAAAATACACCTTAACAGATTTGCTACTGGTAGAATTAAAGAGTAGTACGTCCAAATTAAACTCAGCTATTATTTTCTCATATTGATGGGTGCGATCCAATTCAATTTGACAGATCCCGTGGCTTTATTTTCTATACCATATGAAATTTAAAGAAATAAACCAAGATAAATTTTGGACTGACCTTAAGCAAATTGCATGCATGTTTTGCATGGTTTAATATATAAGATCGTCCATTGTCGTATGTACATTAATTCAAAGATATGATAAGTTTTGAGTCTCCAAAAATTATGTCCCTTCTTTTTTCCCCTGATGATTTGTGGTCGTCATTGGTTTGGATCTCTGCAGATTTTAGTCAACATCTTGATAGCGTGAAAATAACCCATAGTTTTTGCTTTGAATAATACTACTTGCTACAATATGAAGTACTCCATGATTGTCGTGTTATATATACTTGCTTCTTCATTTTGAAATTCCGAAAATAATTGTATACTTTGCTCAAATCTTCAAACTTATCAACACAGTACCCAAAGGAGACATGTATAACAAATTGGATAAAGGTTACGTTCTATTAGTGAAATTATAGTGAACACTTAATTACGAGGGATTAGGAAATTTGGATAAGTTGACTATTAAATCAAAGATATTACACTTAATTTTACTTGATTGTACTGCATGGCACATAAAAATATAATGTACATGTCATAAATATTGATGTAGTTAGCCCACGTAGGTATCATTGTTTTTTTTTTGGTTTTTTTTTCCCTTTGTGTTTGCTCTTTTTTTTTTTTTTTTTTAGAGAGCCACAAGAACGAGTAATCAGACTCATTCCAATATCTCCTGGAATCGGGAGAAAAGGTCTAACTACTTCAGCGCGCATGTAGGTAAGATGAAGGATCCTAAAAACTCACTCACGGATCAACCAAACCCAAATTAGGTATAATGTACTTGGGTGAGAATAATAAGTATAATTCTATTTGTGGAATTGGTATCTTAATACACGGTCTCTTCATAAGTTTTTGATACTTTTTACAAGGATCATATTCTTTTCTTCTTTGCTTTATTCCTACAAAAAAATAAAATTTATTAAATACCAACGCTAGTTTCAATTTCGAACGTGGCCCTTCTCTCTTTGCCCAACCCGTTTGTATTATTAATTAGCAAGTAGAAATCAACATCATTGCGATAATGTATGCATTACATTGTCAAAGTAGACTTATTAATTACTTTTTATTTATTTACAAGAATAATTATTGTTTTAATTTATTGGAAGGCCAAAGTAGACCTAGTTATAGATAAGCATAATGCTCATTTTTTCGATAAAAGTGTATTTTATGTACAATATTATACATTTGTGTGAAACTCTAATCACGTTTTGTATAAACCGTATTTAGGAGAGATAATGTATGTTATATACAGGCTTAATACAAGCAATGAATTATAAAGGCAGTATGTATAATTGTATAAAGTTGAGTGGATGCGCGGTTGACCGGCAGATGTTTCTTTTGGCAAGCCACACCTTAGCTAGATATTATTCCTTTGTATTCCCTTTTTTATTTTATTTTTTTTGAGGAAATTCCTTTGTATTCTAATTAATTATATTTTGATAAAATTTGAGATAATCATATAAGAAAAAAATTTATCATTAGTGAAAGCTAATAAACAAACCTTCCTAGCTATTTGATATAAGTCATTTATTATAAAAGGCATGAATTTGTTATCTTAAATCTGAATATTAAGTTATTTAATGACTACTGTAGAATTACAAGAATTACCATATACTGGTATCAATATTTTTAACTAGAGATTGAAGGTTTAAACTTTAACCTCCTATTTTTTTTTTTTTTTTTTTTTTTTTTTTTTTTTTTTTTTTTTTTTGTTATCTAAAACCTATCAAAACTTATGTTCCTAGTAAATTTATTTTTGCTCCTATACAAAATGAGGAGTAAACAATTCCAAATGTAATCAACAATCACGAACAATAATAAATAAACCAAACTACCAAACATAGAAGCCGAACATTTTTATTCTAAACCAAACTACCCTCCTTTACTTTCGAAAAAGACACGCACTAAGCATAACAACGAGCACATCTAAATAATAGAGAATTGGACTAGTGATTTGAGCACACCTCAATACATACTTTAATTTGTGTTTTCATTATCAAGGGAAAAGTGTAGATTGGGAAATAATGCATCATTGCTAGCTTGATCTACTAAAATATCTCATTCACTGATTTACTTGAACTTTTGAAACAAAAAAAGGGAAAGTTGTTGCATCTCATACTTTGGATGCATGCTTAATGCAACTAGCTATAGGCATTATTGGAACTCCAAGTTACATAACTCGCCACGTTACGTTAGTTTTTCAAGTCAAGTATATGAGAGGTACGGAAAATAAGTATAAATATAATAATAATAATAATAATAATAATAATAATAATAATAATAATAATAATAATAATAATAATAATAATAATAATAATAATAATGTCCTAAACTATGCGCAATATATATGCCAATGTAGCAATAACAGAGAAGTTTGCTTGTTTTCTTCTTTTGTTTTTTGTCCTTTAATAATAATAACTTATACGCCTTTTTTTCATTTTTTTAGTCCTTGTGTTGTGGCTCTTGCTAGAGTTGATTTTATTTTGTCAATTTGGTTTGGTGTCATTCATTGTATTGGAGCCTTGAATTGTCTTACAATATATAGTGCTTGTATATAGAAATTTAAGACAATTTTCTTAGTCATATAATTCTATGTATAGCTAGTAATTAAAAGTTTCCATTTTTTGTTTCAAAAAAGAGTTTCCATTTTTATATATAGATAAACATTTTTCACAAAAAAAAAAAAAAAAAAAAAAAATTAAAGAAAATGTTATGTACGTATATTAATGTCATTATATGTTTTTTTACTGAGTAAGTCATGTGTTTATTTAAGTTGTAATAAACATTTACACCTTTAACATTCAAATTTAACTCTATTATTATGTTGTATTTAATTAATC